GATTCCCACGCGTCCGCCCGCTGAGGAAAAAGTATCCCCACCAGCCCATCCAGAAACGATGTCCAAGCGAGTCGAGAGGTGATCAGGGAAGTGCGGGAGCAAAGAGGGGGACGGCCGAACCGTGTGAAGGAGAGAGGGGGCGAAGGATAAAATTGGATGGATGGATGAGGGAGTAGGGAGAAGGAGGATGAATAGGACGAGGAGGAGGAGGCGGAGGGGGAGGAGGAGAATGAGAAGGAATAGGAGGAGGAAGGAGGATGAGGAGAGCAAGCAAAAGGGCCAGAGGTCTCTTGGATGCTTCTCGGAGCCTCTTGGGATATCTCTTGGGTGTCTTGGGACCTCTTGGGGGTTCTCTTGGCGGTCGTGGGGGGCTCTTCGGCGTCTTGGGTGCCTCGGGAGGACCTCTTGGGGCAGCTTGGGATCCTTTTGGGGGCCTCCTGGGGGCCTCTCGGGGGCCTCTTGAGGCCGTCTTGGGGCAATATTGGGACCTCTTGGGGCCTCCTGGGCGCTCCTTAGGGCCATCTTGGAGGAGATCGATCAAACAAGAGGGGAGCCTGAATTAGCGCCCCCCCCCCTAGAGGCCAAAATGGGGCCAAAACCATAGTAAAACTAATGGTTTTGGCTTCCTCGCCGAGGCCATTTTGGACGCTCCGACACCTCGCGGACCCCCCTGTCTAGGTCCAGGGGAGGGGGTAGGGGGAGGGACCAAGACGCCTTCCCCACCCGCAAGCCATCTCGCTCACTCCCACCCGCCCTCTCAACACATACGTAGCACCCGAGCCTGGCCCGAGCCGCAGCATATGCAGCAGTCGTCTTTAGATGGCCAGCTACTGGGGGCCAATCCGCCGCCGCCGCCGCCGCCTCCGCCGCCGCCGCCGCTTGCCGCCGCCACCGCCGCCGCGCCGCTGCCGCCGCCGCTGTCCGCCGTTGCCCCCGCCGCCCGCGCTGCCCGCCGCCGCCGCCGCCGCCGCCGCCGCCCCCGCTGCCAAATCGCCGCCGCCGCAGCCGCTGCCGCCGCAGTCGCTGCCGCCGCAGTCGCTGCCGCCGCCTCTGCCGCCGCCGCCGCCACCGCTGCCGCCGCCGCCGCCACCGCCGCCTCCGCCACCGCCGCAGCCGCCGCAGCCGCTGCCCCCGCCGCAGCCGCCGCAGCCGCCAAGTGTATTTACCTAACAGCTTGTTCTGATAGGTTTCTAGTGGTGTCAAAAGAGAGCAGCAGATGACTCCACAGGGGGGTCTGGGCGGGTGCCGGACAGGGTGCCGCAGAAGTCGTTTTAAGCCAACAGTCACACACTTCGTGCTCTTCGACCTCCCAGAACTCCATTCCCGGGCCACATTCTGAATGCCCGGAGCCAACTGTAGGCCACTTCGTGCTCTTCGACTTCCCAGAACTCCATTCCCGGGCCACATTTTGGATGCCCGGAGCCAACTGTAGGCCACTTCGTGCTCTTCGACTTCCCAGAACTCCATTCCCGGGCCACATTTTGGATGCCCGGAGCCAACTGTAGGCCACTTCGTGCTCTTCTATTTCCCAGAACTCCATTCCCGGGCCACATTTTGGATGCCCGGAGCCAACTGTAGGCCAATTCGTGCTCTTCTATTTCCCAGAACTCCATTCCCGGGCCACATTATGAATTGCTGTGTGGCAGGCTGATGCTTGTGGCTGAGCAGGCTGAGGATGAGAGGGTGAGGCAGGCTGAGGCTGAGGCCGAGGCTGAAGGCAGACTGAGGGTGAGGCTGAAGCAGGCTGAGGCTGAGGCTGAGGCAGGCTGAGGCTGAGGCTGAGGCAGGCTGATGCTGAGGCAGGCTGAGGCTGAGGCTGAGGCTGATGCAGGCTGAGGCTGAGGCAGCCTGAGGCTGACGCCGTGGCTGAAGGCAGACTGTGGCTGAGGCTGAAGCAGGCTGAGGCTGAGGCTGAGGCAGGCTGAGGCTGAGGCAGGCTGAGGCTGAGGCTGAGGCAGGCTGAGGCTGAGGCTGTGACTGCGACTGCCGTTGCCACTGCGACTGCCGTCGCGAATGCGACTACGACTGC